TGTGGTGTTTTGCAAGTGTAGGTATATAGTCCCGTCAATTTACTTTCCAATAGTGAAAGCCGCAGCTCTCTAGCTCTTTGCTATCAAAAGTTACTAGATAAACAATGGACTGACTTATATTTTGAAACGGATAGTAGTTAGATCTTGAGTGAATTTTTCGAAGCAAAACTCAGGCACTGATTAATTCACAAGTATATATATCTACATATATATATATATACAATAAGTAAAATAATTAATTTCAAAATAACAACGAAACATAAATACAATTCATTATATTGTTTAAGAGCAAGTCGAAAAAAATTATGAATGATTAACAGAAATAACAGAATCAAAACATTGAAATCTTCTTTTTTGTGTGTATGTGTGTGCATTAAATTTTCAAACTGCATCACAACGGCAAAAAACCTATATTTAATGTGAAGTCATATCTGACCTAACGTAGATCAATTCATAAGATAATAAATATTCACAAATTAATTTAATGAACTGTAAAATAAAATTACAATTAATATAATTTTACATTTGTACGATGAATCATAGAAGTTTTGAGCTCGATTGCAACCATCGAGTGTACACAATGTTATTGTACCCTGCATACGTAAACCAGTTAGTCCCTGAAATCCTTTTAATCGAAAATTTCCGGTAGAATCAGGACTCTTTGTTGAATCCATAATATTTTCAACAATACATGTTCTTAAAAATAAATTTTTATATAAATATATTGAACTTATATTTGCATCAACATCGAGTACCGTTCCGGATATTTTAACACAAAATCGAGCTGGAAATGTTCCATGTTTTCCTTTCCATGTTGCTTGACAATCAAATTCAAGTTGATTATCAATTGAATTAAATGGATCATTACATGTATCATTATCGACATTTGTTGTCATACATTTGAAACAACTAAGAGAAGTTGAATTTTGTACCAGACTCCATAATAGAATAGCAAGAGAACAAATAGAAAATGGGATAAATATCATTGTCACACATAATAAACATACACAAAAATGAATACGCTAAAAGATAGACGTAAAAAATACATTAAAGTAACGAAGATTCAAGTAAGTAAGTTATTGCATGCATATCACTGATAGAAAAATAAAGTTCGTGCAGAATCGCGAAAAACTACTCTTTTGTATTCGGCACGCTCGATAACTCAGAAGTTTTTCTATTTTTGGCGAAAGATACGGTTAAAAGCCTAAGAAAAATTTTAAAACTAATATTATTTTCCCATGGAAATTACTTTTTGCTATTTTATTCGAAAAATTTTCCTAAATTTTTAATAATACGTCTTGCCAAAAATAGAAAATCATCGGGATTATCGAGTGGGCTGAATACAAAAAGAGTACTTTTTGCCACTCTGTATGAATGGATTTTATTTTTCTCTCGGTGATATGTCTTTTTTTTCTACTGCGCTTAATGCCGATTTGGTTTCTGTTTGTACCATTCGATAATAATAACTCAACAGTTATGAGATATGCCTGTTTGTTTAACTATTGTTTAAATTTTGCGAACTTCTGACTACATGTAAAATTGAATTACATATTATTTTATTACATATTATTTTATTACATAGGGGAAAATACAATCTATTAATCTTCATGCAGAATCACAGAAATGAACACCAAAACACTTCCTATCTCAGAATGATTAGACTCGTAACATTTAAACATTATGGATTTATTATTATTCCCACTCGTTTCCTTTTCCATCACGCCAAGTACATAGACTCTTCGAAAAATTCTACTACCGTTTTTATGTGTCATAAGCACACTATTCTACCCTATCGTATTTAAGATGTTTTTCTTCAACGTCCATCAGTTTATTCAGAAGTATCTGAAAACACTCACTTGTCTTTTTCTGTAAAATTATTATATTCTCAACTGTTGACTGGTACCATAGTCTATAGTAATCTTATATTTTAACATACTTCAGAGTGAAATAAATCATTGCATTGTTGAACAAAAAAAGTTTTTCCATTGTGATAAACGATTTTTTCCTTGTTTTTTTCTTTTTTCCTTACGAACAAAATTTGTTCTTTCATTTTCTTTCGTTGAATGATTCTATTCTCATTGTCAGATGACTTAGATACTATCCTTAAAAATGTATATATATACACATGGATAAGAGAAATCACTATATGTTTTGGAGTTTTTCTTTTTATTTCTATGTCATTTTTTCTTCTACCAAAAACAGATAAAAAATAGTATTTAACGCCATTAAAGCTATATATTTCCGGTCATAGTCGATCCTATTTCATAACAAATAATGAATATTTTTTCGATTAATTTTAGAGTCAGTAACAACATATATTATATATAGCAACATATATTATGTAGCAGAAAATTATATTTTCATTTTGTACATATCAGTACGAAATGTGCAGATGATTTTAAATTATTTTTTGCGAATTAGATTAAAGAATCCAAACTTGTTACATCTCTATGTTTTAACAATTATATCTCTAAGTCTGCTATTAATAATTAGAAGAAAAAAAAATGTAAAATGATAAATAAATAAATTGGTTGATTTTTATTAACTGTATCTCGAACATGGTGTAGTTAATTGTTTAATAAGTACTCGTTGATGATTTATAAAATTTTTATTAAATACTATTTTTCAGTGAATTAAGACTATTTTTTTACCATTGTTGATAATTTATATGCGAATATTCAGACTTTTCAATATTTTTAGTTTCATACGTACGTGGTACCATCATCGATGATAAACCGAGAATCAGTGGCTATTTCCTTTACACAAGTACTCATGACTCGTCTAGTCGTGGAAGAGAAAAATGTTGAAGTCTATATGAAAAAACAGTGGGATATTTATATAGTAAGGTGCCAGAAATTCCAAAATTCAGAAGGTTTTTAATATTGCATTTTTTTATACATGGTTGGATAGAGCGCGTCGAGATAATTCAGAAAATATGTGTTTTTTAATGTTTGTAGTTTAATTTCTAATTTAATGTTTGTTCTTTTTCGTTCTTCGAACATTTTGAAAGTATTTTTTTCACATTCAACATTAAAAACTGAGTATGAATCTGATATTTGATCGAGGTTAATATCAAAGATCTATCCAGTATGGACTTCTTGGACTCACCCTGTAAAAAGTTCACAAGCCAATTTGAAAACCTATCTAGTTTTTTTGTGTGAAGAGATGAAGCCGATTTATTTACTTCATTAGAACCACCATTAAACGAGCTTCAAAAGTATAAACCACTTTTATTTATTTTGCTTTGTTACTGAGACAATTCATTTCTCCTAGATCAGGAACGAAAAGTCGTGATTCTCAGTTTTCTACATCAGGATTCACCTTTTATACAATACAAATATTATATTCGGAATCAGCGTCAAAAACTGAGTCGAATGATGTACTACCTTAATCAAGGCAGCAAAACAAAAGAGTGAATAACTTGTCTTCAAGCTACCAAGCATCGGGTAACGTAAATTATCGTACATATGATTACATAAACTCCCGCATCATTGTGTCGCCAGTTCGCGATAAGAACAGCGTGACTCAGTGGACGAAAATTGCGAATAAATAGCGATCGCGTGAAAATATTCGAAAATGGCGAGCGCTTTGTTTTTTATTGACTTGCGTCTCAATGACAACACGAAAGTTGACTAGAGCCTTCGAACTCATCATTTATTCAAAATCTTTGAAAGTAAGATTTCATTGAAAATATATTATTTGACCGCAACCATTTTTCATTTTCAACGTTATTCTCGTGTTAAACAAAACTGAAAATGCTTCTCGTTTTTCAAACACGTTCCTTTTTACCTAGGGCATGCTTTTCTTTAGAACACATTCATGATTTTCGAGTAAAGAAAAATGCAATGCGTTTTATTTTGAATTTAAACGAAATAAAGCGGCTTTCCTCCTACATTTCCTAAAACGAGTATTTTCCCCTTATTTTCACTAAAAATAAAAAGCAAAGATAAACATTAAAATTTAAAAGCTCAAAGATAGAGCATTGATCCTGATAATCAGCATCCTGGATTCCATTTCCAGTCGAGATATACTTTTTCCGTTGGTTTGTTTATCAGATTAAGTCGCTAAAAAACTGTGTTCTCATAAAGATAAACATATTGCAAATTATAAATGGGCTAAACGCAATCTCTTTTTCTAACCTCGTTTAATTTTGTTTTTATTCTTTTTTTTGTAACGTAATCGGACGGAAACAACTTTTCATTATTGCTTAAGCGCAATTATATATCGAACACATTTGTTCCTCAATGAGAAATGATATTAATTTTCTGAAACGAAAACATACGCGTTATTTCGAATATGCGTTTTACAGTACTCACGACTAAACATGAGATTAAACACGATTTGACGTCCGCATAAAATCGGTTGCATTTTATTTCGTTGCTTACTGAGACTGAAGATTTTCTTCAATTTCATGAGCAATGTCGTGTGCAACTCCGTTTTTTACCGTCTCGAAACAGGCAGCTCTTCTCCTCTCCTCCAACAAGGTTGCTCTCATATTGTTGCTATTCTTGTCCATATTCTTTTTTACGTTTATATTCTCTTACAAGATCCTCGAGAAGTCCCCTGGCTCAGGTGACCGTTTCTGTGTGTCGAAACTGGTCGTACCAAAGGACTTTTCAATATAGGACGGAAGCTATGCTTCATTGAGAAAAACCTGTTTTCTATCATTTTTTAAACGCATTTTCATGCTTAGTTTGATCCAGTATGCATCAAGATATCGTTAAACAATGGGCAGATATATTCACCGAAGTTGTTGATATTGTAAAAATGAAACTCACTTGCAGGCGTAATGATTTCTTATAGTCTGCTATATTTTGAATTCTTATAATCTATTGTATGTTTGTGAAGAAAAGCTCTATTCTATTATTTCTTTTAACTTCTCCTTACTTTAAAGATTCATAGATATTATTACGATAAATCTTTGTGAAACACACAACAATGCAGTTACAACGACATGTGATTGACTACAGCAGATGTCGCTATTGTAGGTTTTCAACATCCAGCAACTGAACAACAGTGAATGAAACTCAATCTGTCCAATATGCAGTATTAGTCTTCGTTTACTTTGTTATTGGTTGACGTACCTCCAATCGTTACTAAGAAGTGGATATTGGATATACTCAAATGTTGTTATTATTGCACATATTTTGCTTCCTGTTCGGCGATTGCATTATGGGCAGACAGTTCTTGGGCACAGTTCTTTTGGTTTAACCCATGGTCAATAATTAATTCTTTCTCGGGTAGCAACATCATACATCAGCAAGCAGGCATTAGTCTCTAACAGCTTCATTTTCTATTTCTGCTACTTCATTTTAAACATATTTTCAGTCTAAGATATTCGTTGGTGCTGTGTAGCGCTAGCTATTTGCATAAATAGTTCAAGGGACTGCAGGGCAAAGATCTTAAACCAACACTTAATTATTGCTTCTAAGTGTATGATTAATCAAATCTTAAAATACATATTGGCAATGACTAATTTAAGTGTTGTCTTCTCAAATTCGTTTCTTTCATACCAGGGGTCCTATCACAAAAAACTTAAGTCATGGGGAATGTAATCTTAAAGTTAAGATCGAAAACTTAAATCGGACTCGAGTCATTGACGCATTTTTCGAATAGCTCAGACATTTAACGATACGATTCGACGAAAACGACATTCTAAGGATTAAAGAATAAATATTTCGTTATTTTGCGGATTTTTATTCGAAGTTTGTCACTGTTGTCAACGACTTTTAAAAAGTAAACAAATCGCCAACTTAAGTCTTTTTCGTGATACGGTTTAAGTCCCCGGACTTAAGTCGGTCTTAAACTTAAACGTAAGTCGGTGACTTTAGTTTTTTCGTGATACGACCCCCAGTATCTTACTAACCATGCGAATGATTTTTACAAAAATTTCCTAGAATTATATCCAAAAGAGATGTACTACGATGGTTTGATTTTTATTGACATTTTGCTGTTGCTGTCAATAATATCATGAAATAGAATGACTACTGAAGACTTGCTATGATCCTAAGTATGTTTTAAGAGAATGCATTTTTTCCTGTTACCAGTCTTTTACGAAGTGCTTTCCTTCCTTGTATAAGAACGTATATTTTGATAATATTCATAGTTTATTTTATTCTTCAGATTTTTCATACTCTATACTTTGCCGTAGAATTATCCAGCAAAGATGGTTCGTGTCACCATTAAAGGTGGTGTCTGGAGAAACACAGAGGTTGGTAAAACTCGTCTCCTTTTATCATATTGCTAGATTGTATTCGAACTCTGTTTTAGGATGAAATTCTAAAAGCGGCTGTTATGAAATATGGAAAAAATCAATGGTCTCGTATTGCATCTTTGTTACATCGAAAATCGGCCAAGCAATGTAAAGCAAGATGGTATGTAATCATTTTTTATCTAGTATAATATTACGCACCATATTGATCTGTCGTTGCAGGTTTGAATGGTTAGATCCAGGAATAAAAAAAACCGAATGGAGTCGGGATGAAGATGAAAAGTTATTGCATATGGCCAAATTGATGCCAACACAATGGCGCACAATCGCACCGATTGTAGGCCGTACGGCAGCACAATGTCTGGAACGTTATGAATATTTATTGTAAGTATCGCCTATAATTGTAAGAAAACAGCAACACTCTTTTAAGTCAGTTGTTTAATAACATTGTCTTCTCTATTCAGAGATCAAGCTCAACGTCGGCGAGAAGGTTTAGATGAAAACAATGATGATCCAAGAACATTGCGTCCGGGTGAGATTGATCCAAATCCAGAAACAAAACCAGCGCGTCCAGATCCAATTGATATGGATGAGGATGAATTAGAAATGTTGTCGGAAGGTGAATAGTTTGCTCTTTTAGTCTCTTCATACAAGTCAAACTATTTTGCTTCTTTTTAGCACGTGCGCGTTTGGCAAACACACAAGGAAAAAAAGCAAAGCGTAAAGCAAGAGAAAAACAACTCGAAGAAGCAAGGCGTTTGGCTGCATTACAAAAACGTCGAGAACTTCGTGCAGCTGGTATTGAAGTACGACGATATCACAGTCGAAAACGTGGTGTCAATTACAATGTTGAAATTCCATTTCAAAAACTTCCGGCAATTGGTTTTTATGATACATCGAATGAAGAATTTGATCCGGAAAAAGTTGATTTTCGTCGTTTACGAAAAGATAATGTCAATTCTGTACAAAAAGAAGAAAATGAACAACGTGAGATGAAGAAGGATAAAGACAAATTAAAACGAAAAAAAGAAGAAGACTTACCGACGATGATTATGAATGAAAATAAATTAGAACCAATTCGTAAGCGATCGAAGTTAGTGTTACCCGCACCACAAATAAGTGATATGGAGTTAGAACAAGTAGTTAAATTAGGACAAGCAACAGAAATGGCAAAACAGCAAGTGACCGAAACTGGTACACCGGCAACAGAAACATTACTCGGTGATTATAATTTGACACCAGATTTGAGTAAATTACGAACACCACAATTACCATCCGCACTTGACAGCGTGAATATTCAAGCACATAATCTGAATATATTGACAACTCTCGATACACCCTTGAAAGGTGGTCAAAGTACTCCGTTGATGGATGTTAGTAACGAAAAAACAAAATCAGGTTTAATAATGACAACGCCAAATACGCTATATGCGACACCTTTTCGTACTCCTCGCGATGTGACAAATAATACACCATCAGTTCGAGCGATTCAAACACCCGGTGATCTTATGAATGGTATAGGAACTGTATCAACAATAGGTGCGACGCCTGGCATAACACCCGTTCGAGATAGATTGAATATTAATGCTGAAGATGGCTTGTTCGACGATCAAATGAAACAGGTAACGCTTTGCTTGACCATGACGAATTGAAAAGATATGACGTTTACCAGGAACACTGAAGTGGAACTGTTTTATATCACATTTTTGATTTAAAGATGAATCAAGAAGAATACAGACGCGTAAGATCCCTGCAAGACATTTGTGTCATTTAGTTTTACTACCTCTTTCATTAATAAACTGTTTCTGTCAGCTGCTTTAACGGGAGTTACTGGAATGCCCGCCGTTTATGTAGTTCACGAGAGAAGCATTTCTGTAATTCGCTTGGCTTTAGCTTTTTTGTGAGCGTTAGAAGCTTTTCTGCTGGTAGATGGCCAGAAATGTATCGAATCGTTTTTAAGGTAGAGTGTTTTGAGAAAAATTTACTGAATTACATCACTTTGTTTTACTTTACTCAAAACTGTCGTTAAAAATACTGTTTATCGAATCTAAAAATTAGAATTAGAAACGAAAATTTTCTGTAAGGTTTCATTGGTGCACTTTTCAAAACTAGAGCTATTCATTGTCAAAAGTTTTCTTTTTCGCATTTTAGCAAGAAGTGAAACAGCAATTACGTCGCAATTTAGCACGTTTACCAACGCCGAGAAATGACTACGAAATTGTTTTACCATCTGACGTTGATAGTGTCAGTGAATTTTCACACGATGATGAACGAATGGATACATTAAATGGCGATGAAGATCAAGGCGATATTGATAAACGTACACAAGAAGAAAGAAAACAACAACGTAAGTTAATAACATTATTTGAGTTCATAGGCAAAGTTAAAAATAAGAATTTAAGAATAATTGCGGCTATCATGATAAGAACATTCTTTGTACATGGAAAGATGAAAAAACATTAGATATATGTAGCCAGTTGTACTGTTTCGTTTTTATATAATTTTCTGTACGAAGAACAACTTGAAAATGAGCGCGTATCAATAGGTCGAAATATCGAATTGTAATTATTGGTTTTAGTTTTAATTTTTTACTTTTATTAAAACTTTTATTAAAATTCTTATCATGATAGCCGCAATTATTCTTAAATTCTTATTAACAACATAAGTTTTTCATGGATAAAAAAATCTATGAAAAGCTCTCAAATCTTGATCAGTACAAGATTATTTATTGTCCGCTTGTTATTTGTTTGAGTTTCTGTTATTTACAACGAACTTATAAATTAATAAACGTCTTCTTATGATATAAAATATAAATGTCTTGAATACTTTAGTTCGTGAACATTTCAAACGTCAAACACAAGCTGTACAGCGTCAACTTCCAAGGCCCATTGATATTAATCATACTATATTGAGACCAGCGACAATTGAAGCACCGATGAACGATTTACAAAAGGTAATAATCTTTTTTCTTTGATCAATATAAAAATTTAATTCTTGTTCGTTTTCAGGCAGAAGAATTAATAAAACAAGAGATGCTTGTTCTACTACATTATGATGCCTTGAATAATCCAGTTAGTGGCACATCAGTATCGTTACAAAATGCAAGAAAAGATAGTGAAAAGAATAGTACATATTTAGATGCACACTCATATGAACAGTTTAGCGACGATGATCTATTACAGGTAATTACATATTATTATGAATATAGGCTATCAGTACGATTCTGTAGGATTTTGTGGTAACATTACCTCTGATACTGTTAAATCGTAATTTTATTCCCATAAATTATGTTCATCTAAACGTTTCGGTGCGTTGTATCTTCATCAGTAGACGAATATAATTTGTGGGAATAAAATTACGATTTAAAAGTATCAAAGGTCACAATATGAATATAGTTTTTTATTATCGTATTTTATCTTTGTTAAGGCACGTACAATGTTAGAAACAGAGATGAATTTAGTTAAAAAGAGTATGGGACATGGTGATATTGGTTTGGACACATATTCGAAAGTATGGGATGAATGTTATTCACAAGTATTATTTTTACCATCAAAAAGTCGTTTTACACGTGCTAATACAGCAACGAAAAAAGATCGTATTGAATCGTCGGAAAAAAAATTAGAGGTAATTTTATTTACAAATACACTGAATCCATTCATATTTGTTCAAAGCTTTGTTTAGAAAAAGTACATCTTGAGTCTCTTACGTGTTCAAAATATTTTTTTCTAAAAAACATAAGAAAAAAAGCCTCTCTATAATAGACGGATATAGATGAGTTCAATACAATTTAATCTAACTATTGTTGTATTTATTTTTTAAGTTGAATCGTAATCTAATGGCACTTGAAGCTAAACGTGCAGCTAAATTGGAGAAAAAATTAAAAATGTTACTGGGTGGTTATCAAGTGAGTATATAACACGTTTTGTCTTGTATTTTGAATCTCATTTAAAACATTTTTATTTCTAGTCACGCGGTCAAGCTCTAAATAAAGCTTTAAATGATATTTACGAACAAATTGATCAATTACAAGTAGAATCAAAAACGTTCGAAGTATTACGACAAAATGAAACTCAAGCAATTCCAAAACGTATTGAAGTATGTATTAAAAATGATGTTCTACAGTAAGATATGACTACTTTTTTAGATGTCTTATAAATTGACATTCATATCAGTACACGTAGATCGATCAGAAAATATCTGTGATAAAATGAAAGTAAATACTATATTTGTTTTTTATTTTAGTCTTTTAGCGACGATGTTATAAGACAAGAACAACGTGAAAAAGAATTACAAGCACATTATCAAGATTTAATGGAAGAACGTAGTGATTTATTACAACAATTGTAATTAATCAATGGGTTATTCTTTGACTACAAAGTGCACTATTTTCCAAAGAACGTCAATATCAACATATATTATTATTAATTTTTTGATCATATTTTCATAGATTCAAATGAACCGTCTGTTTTTTTGTTTGTGATTGTTAGACAATTGTCTCACTGTCTTTCTTTCTCTTTCTTCTTTCTTTCTTTTTTCGCATCACATATATGTCTAATTAATCTATATCAGACTCCTTTTTTATTGTTCTTTTTTAAAAAGAAAAAAAGTCTATTTCTCGGTTAAATTATATTTTATCAAATATATACTTTTAAAGAGAAACAATGTTGATTTTTTCCATAAATAAAAGTTCATTTGTTAAATACGTTCTTCTATTAGCTAACAAAAACGCAATCCTTCATTGAGATTTACAAAAAAAAATGTTCAATCTTATTGTATTGTCTACCTTGAATTGCTGTCAATTCGTTGATGTTACAGGTAATCAAAACCAAAAGGATTCTCTTTCATTTGCTTATTATGGTAAGTGAACGATTTTAATAATTAACACATCTTAATTCCTGTGAAATCTTTCTTGTTCATGTTTATACTTAATTTTTTATAGATTTTGCTATCTATGGCTGACTCGGATCTTGATGATATTCGTGCAAAGCGTATGGCTGAATTACAAAAACAATATGGAGGAAATCCAACTGGTAGTGAAGGAGGTGGAGAAAAAAATCATGAAGATCAACGACAAAAACAAGAAGAAATGCGTAATGCAATGTTAAGTTCATTATTAACTCAAGAAGCAAGAGCAAGACTAAATACAATTGCTGTTGCAAAGCCAGATAAAGCACGTATGGTAGAAGATATTTTAATGCAGAATGCACGAAGAGGTGCATTCGGAGGCAAAGTATGTTAATTTTAGATAATAGTCTACTTTTCGACTAAATTATTATTTTTTTGTCCGTTTTCTAATAGGTCTCGGAAGAACAATTGATTAATATTCTTGAACAAGTGAATAAAGCAACTGAAAAAACAACTAAAGTGAATGTAAGTTAAATGTAGCAGAGGGCTAAATAATTTTTACTCACGTTTAAAATTTAAGAGTTTAAATACATTACAATTTCTTTTTCTTTACGACTCGAATTATTTTCATTTTTTAGTTTGACCGACGTCGTGTGGCTCTTGATTCTGATTCTGATTAGTTCAATTTTTTTCTATCATATAAATCACTTAACGTGTGTATCCTAGCCCTTTCGTTTTTTCCAATGTGTACATTTATTATCTCTGGTTTTTTATATAGCAAATGTTTCTTTTTTTTGAATATGTTTTGTTCTAAACATAACTTCTGTTTAAATATGAAAATACATGACCTGATTGTGATGACATTGTTTCGGTAAACTTAGTCATTTTGACTGATCTCTCTCAGAAAAACGGTTGATCCTATTGAAAATAATGATGAGATGAATAGTTTGTTTATATTATTCCCGTTAAGATCATCTGTCATAATTTTTCATGTCTTCTGATTGCTAAAAAATGAATTTTATGTTTTATTCACAGCTTTGTACCGTACCGTAAATAACAAAAACAGATCTTTCTTTAGTCCTTTTTAACTAAATAAATCTTTTTCTTCGTGTAAAAAGTTATAACAAGTCTTACTCATAAAAAAAATTATCAGCGTGTAATTCTGATGTCTCAATAGGACGTCTCCCAAAGTAAACTATTTCAAGAACTGCCGAGGAGACGAGCTATGCCCAGGGAGAAAGAGCCTGGAGTTTCACTACGTTTCATGATACTTTGTTGCCTATGTAAATCGCTGATGATCTACTTGAACATTGATTAATTTAACTTTCTCTTTTAGATATTTATGATTAGATCAAATTAATAAACTTAATCTTAATTCAATCCTTGCTTTAGATCGAACAATGAAAATTTGGACATCGACTCACATTTTTGAGTTGAGTACCGTATTTGTGATGATTTTTGAATATTCACGAATGCTTTCTTTTGTAGTCATGAATGGTCTACAGTTGTGAAAGCGGCACTGCAAAAATATCCAAATCCTGTAAATCCAGGCATTCTAGGATGTGACGTCGTAGATCGGAAAGTAGAAAACGGTCTGATCATATCTCATCGTGTTTTATTGTGTAACTGGTCAATTGCACCGTTGTTTGCAAAAGTAGGTTTCGTTCATTATTAGTAGGAGCTAGGCGTGTGACAATTCACTGTTCCCGTTCTTTCAACTAGACGACGATTCAACAGTTTCCGTTTCTGAACTAGGAATGATTCAGCAGTTCACATTCCTAGAAACGAGGAACGGTTCACTACTTTCAGTTCCTGCGAATGGGAATTACAGTTCTTTTTTAAACTAGGAACTGTTCGGTATATCGAAGCTTTATTGCTTATGATTTACTAACTCTCGGTCAGTGCGGCGACATATTCCTATCGGAAATCTTTTTTACAGCAAAATTTGTCTATATCCTGATAGAGATATAGGAGATGTCGCCCTACTGTCTGTTCATCTCCTTTAACATGCTAGTGAATGATCGATCAGGACAATAGTACTTAATAACTTATCTTTCGTAACAGCACGAGAACATTAATTATCTTTTGTGTTAGTCAGGAATTATCTTTTGCATGAGAGTACAGGAAAGTCTTTCACTAGAGGATCGCAAAGGCCCGAGTTTTTTGTGACCAACTTCCTGAACTGTGAAGTGAAATAGTTCAGAAAAACTTTTCACCGGTAAATGGTAAAAATTCTGCTAATAAAAAATTTGTCAGATCAAATATTGTGCTATAGGAAAAATCAAAAGTTTTCTTCAGACAGGTGTGGCCGCATCGAAAGTAGTACCTTTGAAGGACTTCCTCTCCTCAGCCCGTCACTGAAATGGAATTCGAACACAGAATTCTTGAGGCTTTTGTGTAATAATACCACAAATATGAGGAATCTTCAAAAATCTGCACAATGATAGTTCATTTTATTGTACATATTTCCTTTAGCCTGATAGGTGGATTTTCAACTGTTCTTGTCAACTGAGAATTCAATAGACAAATCTTAAATCGGCATAGACAAATTATTTCGAACGGCAAACTAGAAGCTAAACTTCACCATGCGATCTCTGACTTAAGCAGAAGATGAAAAATCCTGAAAAAAAACGGCATAATTTAACAACGAAACTAGTATCATGCAGCTAAAACAGGATAACTATTGAATATATTCTTTTCAATGATCTCACTAACATGTTAAAGATATGAACAGAGAATCAGTAAATCATAAGTAATAGAGCTTCGGTATACCGAACAGTTCCTAGTTCAAAAAGAACTGTAGTTCCCATTCGCAGGAACTGGAAGTAGTGAACCGTTTCTCGTTTCTAGGAATGGGAACTGAAAATTAGTTTCCGTTATTAAGGAACTTAAGTTCAAGAAACTACGAACTGTCACAGGTATAGTACGAGCATTTCATTATTTTTATATCTTCATCATTTTGGCGAGAAAAGTAACAAAATAATAAGTAATTTTCTGAATTATTCGTAACTAATAATAAGAAATTATAATACTACTTTGTTAGTAATGAGTAAACCAAAAATTACTAATTAGTATAAACTAATTATCAACGGATCTCTCGGCGTGGTGGCGAATATCTGTTCTTTATATTGTTCTAGTTAATTAACATGGACGGTGTCGGTTATGGATCTGAACATTCAATTATCGATGCTAATAAACGTTTAATGATGTTAAGAACGAGAAATTTAACGTTAAATCGTTATTTGAGTGTGGAGGAAAATCTTCAATATATGCCACATCCAGAAAACAATTCAAAAACTCTATTAAAACAAGAAGCAACTATTACCGTGAAAAATGTTCCATTGACTAATTATATGGAAGCATTGATAGAAAAAACAATCAATTCAAATGCAAACAAAGTAAGCAGAGAATAGACGTTCAACTACAAAAAAAGTAGACGGAGTGTGAATGAATATCTCAACTATCAACCAGTAATATTCAATTAATTGTTATTTGTTTTATTATAGGGTCGTCAAGCAATTGAATGGGTTATTAGAAGAATGCACAACGATTTACCAAGAACGTCTTTATTTTCTTCTGAACAATTAGCCTAGCTCTTTCTATTTACTTTTCTTAGGTTATTTTTTTGCGGTGATAAAAATTATCTATCTCTTTCTAGTCTTTTCTTTGAATTCGAATTGTTTTTCTTTTCTTTTGGAATATTTTGTTGTAGGCCAATTTGTTAATGTTTTTCTTTCTCATGAAAATAATTGTTTCTATCTTCATAAATCGAACAACTTTTTTTGTATCGATACCGCTAGACGGTAACAGTAAAAAATAAAAAAAAGTTACATTTTGATTTCTGCTTATCGATGAGAAATGATGGTATATATTAATACTGTTTATGATCATTTCTTCGGGTTCTCATCTCTTACGAAGTGCATGCCTATGCACGTTAATATTTTAATATTTGCCTTCTTGGTTCTGCATAGTATAGAAACAATGTTGAGAAATAGAAGATTACTTCCACTGTCTAAGTCTAATACTTATGATTAATTAAAAAAAGAATAGATTCTTTTTGCTTCAATACTAATAGCGTATCATATTGCTGTAGTTTTTCAATTTACAAAAATTGTTTGATGATAATTTATTTTCATATATTTAGGTAATTATTTTGTCTATCAAGGGAATAACATAGCATTATCAACTGGAATGAAAGTAACGTTTTGTTACGTAATATTGGTAAGTAATTTTAAAATGTATATATTTTTAAAAACTATCCTATTTATTATGTTTTTCAAGTCATAATGGTTGATTGGACAAATTCTAGACAACAACGTCAACTTTCTGTAACACAATATAATCCTATCATAGATGGTTATTCACATAAGACTACGGGAAGTATAGCTGGTTCCAATCGATCGCGTCGTCCGTCATGGTCTGATGCAAAAAAAGATTTTATTGAAGATGATGAAGCATTTTCTGATGCACATACACAACTATTAAAAAATTTAGACTTATATTATAGAAAAGGTATTGATAAACTGTCAATGTATTATTTGTAATCTAATTATTGTTATTTAATTTTTTAGTTAAACGACAATTATTAGCATTTCAATCTTTACCGACTGGCTTATTTCCAAATCATTTAGAACCTAAGAAGAAAGTAGCTCATGTTGTTGAAAATGTTTTTTGCGCTATTTCTGTATGGTCACTACGCCAATGTTACATGTAAATCGTTATGAAACATTCTATTGTTATAAAAATATACTTAACAACTTTTTATTTTAAAGAAAAATTGATAATGATCAAGGTCGTGCTCATGAACTAGGGCAAGCTGCTGTGAAATGTATGAGGGGAATATTAAATTGTTGGATGAAACAAGCTGTTAAAGTATGTACGATTTTTATCCTACTACACATTTTTTTTATCAAATTTTACAAGTTTAGCTCGAAATATTTAAAGGTGAACAATCACCAAAAGATGCCTTACATTCAAAGTTCAACGTTTACGATGGTAGTGAAGTATCAGGAGCTGATGAAGTTGGCCAATTACAAGTATGTAGGATCGATTCTATTGTCTTTTTATAATCAACACTATATTTCAATTATTTAGATCTGTGCTATTTCTCTCTATTTATTGACAATTGCACAGATGATTACATCTGGACTGCAAGTATGTACTTTTTTTTAATCAGTCCTTTAACGTCCAATATCTTTCCAAATGAACATTGACATAAAATCTATGTAGAACAGCATATCAGAAAACGGATCTCATATCGATTTTAGAATAATAAAAAGCCCATCAAATAAAAAAATATTCTATTCGACTGTTTAAAACAACCGAGATATTTAAATTAGAAAAGAATTTCGTTCTAATTACAGTTTTTCGAGCTGTTATCGAGCAGCTCGTTTATTCTCGTCTTCTTAGAAAGTTGGTCGAAAATATTCGTTTCCAAGCTAAGCTAATTAGAGAATTAGATAATGGAACTATTGAATTGCTGGTGGTACATTTTAGAAAGTTTTGTTTCAGTAGAGTCTGATTTGTGAACATCTGCAATTTACATAATATATTTAGATGTATATCTGGATGTTCAGATATTCTGATATTCAAGTTAGATATTTAGATATTCAGATGTTATAGAAATGGGAAAAGGGAAGGTGGGGACGGCAAGGGAAAATGAGAGTGAGGCGCTTCCTGATATTCGCCACCGGGAAAGAAAAAAGGAAGATATCTGAATATCTGATCATCTAGATATTATCTAAATTGCAGATGTTCACAAATCAGACCGGTCTCTTTTGTTTTGCTGAATTTTTGTCAATTGTGTTTTCATTCACCATGTGGACTTATTTTCCATCTATAATAACTCTCGAGAACTAATGATTTACACTTACATATGTCGAATTCATGACTTTTAATCGATTGTTACAGAAACTTCTTTTTTTTTCGATTTATGAATCAAAATTTGAGGTAAAAAATCTTCAATTTTTACATCAACAACAAAAAAAATTCTATTTTTGATCATCATTTAGTCATATCTTGATCTTAGAGGTGACATTATCATGTTAGAGCATATGTTTTTTGAAAACAAATGTCAATTCTCTAAAATAGTGAAGTGTGGATAAAAAAAGAGAAAAATCAGTGATCTACGATAGTCGTAATTGTCTTTATTTACAGATTATCTATTCAATTGATGAGGTTAATTTTATTCAACAATTGGTGTTTTATATCGAGCGTGCTTATCGAACACCTGATTATGGTATTTGGGGACGTGGAAGTAAATATAATAATAATACATGTGAACTTCATGCGAGGTATTTTGATTACTATTTCGTACAATTCTTGTAATTTACTTTTGATATTTATTTTACTTTATTTTTAGTTCGATTGGGATGGCTAAAGCAGCATTAGAAAGTAATAAATTGTGTTATCCACGTTGAGAATAATAAATAAATCATTAAATTGTCAATTTTTTTAGCAATGAATGGTTTTAATCTATATGGAGAACGAGGAGCAAGTTGGTCAGTAGTCTATGTCGATATTGATGCACATAACAGAAACAGAACAACATTCGATACATTATTACCAAGAGAATCAGCATCAAAAGTATAATGAATGCTTTTTTTTTCTATATGAAAGTTCAACAAAGTAATATCATATTTAGAATACTGATGCCGCTTTATTATTCACTGTCAGTTGGCCAGCATTCTCTATTCATGACACGAATCTCGTTCAAACAACAATCAAAAAATGTATACGAAAATTACGTGGATCCTACGGTTTTAAACGATTTTTGCGTGATGGGCAATATACCACTATCGAACCAAAAGATAAACGATTTTACGAAGCATCGGAAATTAAAGTAGACAAAATGTTAATTACATGTGTATTTATTTCAATATATGACAGTATAATTTTTAGAAATTTGATAAAAACGAATGTGAATGGCCAATGTTTTTTGCTTTAATGGTTATTGACGGTAAAAACAGAATGAAGCAAAAATATCAATATAGAATACATAATTTGTTTCATTCTATTGTAGGATTATTTAAAAATAATCAGCCTCAAATTGATGAATATCTTGGTTTGTTAAATCCTCTACTTCGACGAACAACGGAAGGTAATGATTTGATCAACTTTTCTTACCATTAGAATTTTAAAAATCTTAACAAAAACTTCATACACACACACACACAAAATATACACGTACTATCTATTATAGCTGCACGTACTGAAGATAAATCAGATTGTAAGATGATCACTTGTTGTTTTATTTAATTTTTATCATGTTCTTTTCCCTACCCTATTTATTCAATAATTTGTTAGAATTAAGAAATTTTTAAATAGTAAAATTATTTCAACAGTATCTAGTTATAAAGCATCAATGAAGAAAGTTTTGAAAGTCTTAGACTATCCTGACTACGATATTCTAAGAAGATAGATTAGAATACCTTGGCTACTTTTCTGTTGTCTGAAAGAGACAGTTCATTCATCTACATGAAATTCTAATGTACAACTCATTATTATTTAACCTCATTAAGACACAACTAGTTGTACTCAACATTTTCTTTTTTCATTTTGGGTTAAAAAAGACATGAATAGGGCTGTTCGAAATTTGAATGTGTTGTGAAAAACTACCGAAAATTATGAGAAGATCTTTACATTAGTATGTAGAGAACTATTCGATCTATCATCATGTTCACTAGCAAGTTTTTCTAACAAGAAACAGTTGAGAACTCGAAAAAATACGATGAAAATTTGAAAAAGTGTCTTTTTTTACTTCATAGAACTCTAGATTTATGCAGTTCGTGCCTTTCTTTATACTGAACTATCCTGATGGGCTCACAAGCGGCAAAAAGATTTCTTTCTCTTATTTATCACACCGTTACTGTAACAATACCAACACTGTGATAGTTCTGCTTTTATCGTCGTAAGAAACTCTTCTGAACACTCTTTTAATTGATTTTATTCACAACTTATCGTTCTTTGCTTTATGACTTTCTGAAGGCGAAAAGAACAAAATCATTTGTCTATTTTGTCAATTCGTTTTTGTTAACTGTTGAACACATATATGCTGCTGTTACGGTATATATCATGATATCATCTAACAAATTATAACAAGCTTATCCTTAGCTTTTTTCTTTGTTGTGTAAAAAAACACGCAGTTTTAGTTTTATTACACAAATTGCACGTTATTTGGCCTGACTTAGTTTGAAAGTATGAAAACTATCAATGTAATTCGGATTCGGATCAACTATTTTTAAGAAATCGTTCTCATTGTCTATGTCACTTGGCACAGTGGGCATCCAGGCGGAAATTAGGTGAAAAATCGAAGTTGCTCCTAATTCAAATACAAATAGTGGAAAATGTAGCCCTTTCAAAGGGCTATCGAATGGTATATAAATGTCTATTTTGAAAATGGTTCCTACGACGAGAAATCACGGTACACAAAACCGATTACGGATATCGTTACCACATACGAAATAAAGATTCTTTGCTTACTCAATTATGTTACGCGATTTCAAAGCAGATATTCAGAATCAGCACGTCTTCAGCTACCTATTGATAACAAAATATTTCTATTTCGGCACCGAATTCAATAAGTAAGAGCGACATGTTCTCCATAACGTCAGTCCGTAGTAACAGTACTCCAGTATAGTCGGGTTGCCCTCGTTAGCCCCACGCGAAAATAACATTCAAACACATCAAAATGTTCCTCAAACGCTACTCTATGTATTCTAAAATTGCAAAATCTCGCATATTTTCCAAGGAGGTGTCATAGATTTTCCAAAATCCTAAGGAGTTTTCGCGTATTTCACATTTCTCTCTCTCACCAAAGCACTTTTTCGTACAAATAATGCCATATTCGGAATCAGCGTGAAAAACTACGTCGAATGATATATAGCTTTTTAATTTTTCTGCAGAAATATTTTCGGTCAAACTGAATTATACAGTTGAAAGCCTGTCCGCAGCAAATTTTGCTTAGGAAGTTGGATATTTATTTTAGCAATAGTACGCAAGTGTATAAACAC